GGAATCCTAAAAGCTGAAGTTTATTTAAAAAACATTTTTTTGCCTTAAAAGAAAAATTGAGCTGAAGGTCATTTTGTCTCCTAAAGCATGTAGGTTTAAATTGCCAAGCCCAACTTTTGTGTTGCTGTGTGGCTGTTGGCAAAGCTGAAAGGACAAGTTTAAAGCAAAAAATGTACATTTGTTATACTTGTACAATTTCATTTTTCCACCCAAACTGAGGTAGCAGTTAAACCACGTTTATTTTTGATACTTCCTAGGATGAGTTATGTATTCAAGCATCACATGGTCGCCCCCTGAGTGCTGATGTTCCTTTCTGATTGCCCCCCCAGGCTCTCTTTGACATCTCCTTGGTGGTGAATCGCTGCAGAATCTTGGGAGATGAGTTGGAATTTCTGCAGAGGTGGGGAGCAAAATTCCAGCTCCTGGAGACAGATATCAAAGACACAGAGTGAGTAAATTCAGAAAATTGTGATGGGATTGTTGGGGTGTCCTGTGCAGAGCCAGGAGCTGGACTTTGATGATCCTTGTGTGGGTCCTTTCTGACTCAGGATGTTCCTTGGTTCAATAAGATGGAGCTCACAGCAGCCTTAAGAGGGAGTTTCTAGATAATCAGAAGCAAAACACTGAAATAGTTTCAATTTGGTTTTCTTAAAAGTGACATTTCATGCTATTGTTTTTAAGAACAATTTAATTTATCTTCATGCAATTGCACTATAGTGTCCCAGTGCATGGAAATTAGGCTGTTCATGGATTCATTGATTTTAGGACTATCAGACAGCCTCTCCTTCCTTACTGTTTTCCTGCTTGACTTGCCTTTCTTAAATACTGAGGCCAAATTGTAGCAATGCAAAGGAAACAGAGCCAAGACCTTACCTGTAGCTTAGGGCTTTGTTTCTTTTAATCTTGTGTTTGCCTCAGCCAAGCAGAATCAGTCATGGAAGGAGGGATGCACTGAAACTGAAGTTTACTTTCTTTACTTTCCATTTTCCCTTGCTACTTCCCAATTTTGTGGCATGCCCCAGTGGTACAACACAAATACAATTTCACCTCATCCTTCCATTACTGATCCATATCTTTAATTGAGAGGTGCCCAATTATGAACTTCCTCTGCCTACCTTGGTGCTATTTCAGAGGTTATTCTAATTTTGTAGCTCCCTTTGCAAGAGTGCCAAAACCCCCATGGAGCTGGAGGTAAATCAGTCCAACTTAAAGCATTAGAAAACCTTAACTGCCTGGGAATGTTTCATGTTAACTAGAAAACATGTTTTTAGTCTCTATTCTCAGTTTCTGGATGGTTCTGTCAATTATGTGTACATTAACTTTTTCTGTGGGGGAAGTTGGGGGTTTACATTCTGAAGTGTTGATAAATTGTGAAGGGTCTTTTTTATCTTATTCCTGAAGTTCCTGTCTGTGCTAGAACTCTTTAGAAGTTACTGTGCTTGTTCCATCAGTGACATCACTTATTATTGCATCACTTATCACTTATTTCTGCTCCTGGCACTAATTCCAAGGTGGAAGCAGCCCATTTGACTGTTTTGCATGGATCTTTGTGTTTATTTCCACAGGGTGAAGCTTCTGTTCTCCTCTTCAGTGGCTTTTGCAAAGTTTGAGTTGACTCTGGCTCTCTCTCATGATTACCCATCTGCTGTGCTTCCCTTCAGGGTCCAAACCCACATTGGGGACATCGGGTGAGCTGGCAGAGCTGTGACTCCATCCCAAAGCTGGGATGGGGGATTGCACACTCAGGATCCTCTCCAACATGTGTGATAATTTTATCTTCCCCAGGGAGAAGGAAATTGCTGCAGTTCTCTCCAGAGTTCCAGCTGGTCACCACTATCTGCAGAGAGCAGTCACCTCGATCCATCAGAATCTGCTCCAGGCTCCCAGATGATCTGCTGCATCCACAGGCAGGACTGAAGCAGTCAAAGTGGGTGGTCTCTGAGTTTGCTCTTATGAGAATTCCAGCTGTGTCTCCCTGAAATGGGAATGTTGTCACCCACTCAGCTCCACAATTCCTGCCTATTTAGTGTCCTTGTGGCTTAGACCAAGTAGAACCCTTGGTGCAGGCCACGAGTTTTACAAGGACAGGGGTGTCTAAAGAGGAGAAGAAGGAAATTCCTAGATCCCTTCTAAGTTCAAGGTGCTTTTACCTTCTGCCAGTCACTGGTGGTCATTCCTGGCACAGATAGTCATGATTGGATAGCCATTCCAAGCATGGATATTCTTCTGCCATACCTCATTAATTTTGTCATTTACAGAGCACTTGGAAAAAGCAATGATGAGCATTCTCTAAATTATTACAACTGGAATTTACATTTGCTGTCATTATTTCACTACCACGTACAATTTAACAGATCCCACCACATCTGGTGTTTATCCATTGCCTGGCACCCCTCCCAGGCCAGACACTATCCCTGCATCTGATTAATTAACCAGTTAACCTGTAGCAATTCACCCCAGAAACCAAAGTCAGAAATATTTTGGAATTAAGGCTAAAAATCCCTGTGCTTGCCCACAGACTTTGGGATGCAACAGCCTCAGAGCCATCACTGTGATTCCCTGGCAGAAGTTAGTTCTTTATTCATTGCCTCAGTCCAGCACTATCTCTGGGTGCTGGGGCACTCTCCCAGTTTGAAATGCCATGGAATTCTAGTAAGGAGACTGAACTTAAACTTGGGAGTAGCTGTGAGCTCTAGCTTGGTTTTGTGTATAATTTTGTGTATTATGTGGGTCTTGCTGTTGGAACTGGTCTCACCCTGTGTTACTGAGCCAAAGCACCAACCCTGGCTCAGCTCTCAGTTCTGCAGCTGCAAATCTTTGTACCCTGTAAAATATGTTGAATTTTAAAATGTTTTCCTGTATTTTAGTGTTTATATATTTTGTCTTTTTACAAAGTTTGTGTCTGTCTGAAAAGTGGAAGTTTAATAAAGATTGGATTTATCACTCTTTCTGTTTCAAATGGAGATTATGGACTGCTCTATTTAAACTGGTGATTGAAAATTCAATACTAAATTAAATTCAAAATATTGAAATAATTATGTGTCAAATACTTGGGAAGGCTTTTCACAATATCATTTCTTTCCTTACCTTTTCTAGTGCTACTTTTCTATATCCTGGCTTTTCACAAGAATTTATTGTATTTTAATTAGGAAGATAGCACCCAAATCATTCTCAACTTAGGTACCGTACCTGGAATTTGGAATTTCCCCAGGCCATTCTCTGTGCATCAGGAACTAGCAGAGAGTGCTGTGGCAGTTCTCCAAGAGCATTATCCACCTCTCTTTTTTTGTCTTTTTTGGCTGTTTTCTTTCAGTGGATTTACACACTAAAGCATCAATAACTAAAGACTCAAGTGAGTTTTTGGTGGAGTTTATTATATTGTTCCAAATACTGAATCCAAGCAGCAGCTAAAGCCACACATTTAAGAAAGGGGGCTTAGACAGAAATTATTCCATTATCCAGCTTTAAAAAATCATGGAAATCTTCACTTCCGTGTGCCAGGAATCAGTAGCTCCACTCTGTGCAAGACCTCAAGGCAACGGGATTCCATCAAAGTCAAGGGATGGAGCTTCCAGTGTGGAATTGCAACCTCTGCTCCAGATGTGTCTCGATCGCCAGCTGCTTGTTCTTGGGTTCTGAGGAATTGTCAGAACTGCTCAGGAATTGCGTGGGCTGCTGGATTTATGGGGGGACGAGGTTGTGCTTCAAAAGGGAAAAGAAAAGAGAAAATAAGAGAAGGGAAATAAGAGAAAATAATGGAAAGGAGAGAGAAGCAAAAAGAAAGGAGATAAAAAAGGAGAAGAGGGGAGAAAGAGAAGGAAAAGCAGGGGGGGAAGAGAAAAGGAAAGCGGGAACAGAAGGGCAAAAAGAAAAGGGGCGAGAGAGAAGGAAAAGAAAAATGGTTAAAGGAAACAGAAAGGAAGACAAGAAAGAGAGAGGAAGGAAAGAGGATTAGAAAGGAAGGCCGCGGTGCCCCGGGGCTGCTGCCCATGACCCTGGTGCCGATCCCCGCCCGATCCCGGTCCCCGTTCCCGCGCTCCCCTTTAAGGCGCCGCCGGGGGCGGGGCGGCGCCTGCGCGGAGCGGTCACGTGAGGCGGCGGCGGGAGCGCCCGAACGGCCGGAGCGGGGCCGCGGTGAGGGACGGGCACGGGAGCGGGGTGCAGTGGGCTGAGCTGAGCTGAGCTGAGCTGAGCTGAGCTGAGCTGAGCTGAGGCGGGCGGGACGGGCCCGGGGCCGCCGGACCCCCGACGCCTCTCGGGGTCCCCCCGGCGCCTCCGCGGTGCGGGAGCCTGAGGGCGTTGGCGGCGGAGGGTGGGCAAGGCCGTCAGCTGTGGGCAGCCATGGAGGGCGTTAAACAAAGGGCTGGGGTTGAGCACAGTGAGGGACACGGCGTGCGGAGTCCAGGGAGCTCCAGATCGCCGGCGGGCGGTACCTGGGAGGTGCTGCTGGCCGGGGCCCTGGTAAAGTTGGGATCGTGGAATGCCAGAATGGCCATGAAGTTCCACCCCCTGCCATGGACAGCGACACCTTCCGCTATCCCAGGTTGCTCCAAGCCCCGTCCAGCCTGGCCTTGGTCACTTCCAGGGATCAAGAGACAGCCGCAGCTTTTCTGTGCCAAAGCCTCAGCACTCTCACAGGGAAGAATTTACCAGTATTCAATGTAAATTTCCCCTCTGTCAGTTTGAATCCATTCCCACTTGTCCTGTCAGTATTATATGTGTGAATTCCCTGGTATCCTTCAGTTTCCCATGACAGCTCCTGCCTGCCATCCTGCTCAGCAATCCCAGGCGTGGTGCAGATCCTCTGCAGGGTCTTGCAGCCCTTTCCAAGGTGTTTGTGGCAGCCCCGAGGGCAAGCTCTGGGGCACAGCCCAGCCATTTCAGAGGCCATTTCAGGGGGCTTTTCCAGCTTTAAGAACTCCATGATCCTGATTTATGTGACCACAAAACTTATTGCTAAAAGGGAGCACTGAAATGTCTGGTTCCTTCCAGGGGCTGTCCTGGGCCTCGCTGCCATGGCCATGCAGATGCAGCTGGAGGCCAGCGCAGACACCTCAGCAGAGGAGGAGAGCTTTGGGCCACAGCTCATATCCAGGTTGGAGGTAGGTGAGGAGTTACCTCTGGAGGAACTTTTCCATAGATGCACTTGCTGCTCTTTTTCCTAGAATGGAATCCTGTGATGGTTTGGGTTGGAAGGGACCTTAAAAGTTCATCCCATTCCATACCCTGCCATGGCCAGGGACACCTTTCACTACCCCAGGTTGCTCCAAGCCCCATCCATCCTGGACTTGAGCATTTCCAGGCTCTCCACCAGGGCCTCACCACCTCACCAGGGAAGAATTCCTCACTAATATCCAACCTGAACCTTTTTATTTAAAAGCAAGGTGACCCCAAAAACTCTGTTGCTAAATTCTTACGTGTGTTCTGTTAAAAAAACCCAACCGAACAAAAAACTCAGAAAGACCCAAAAATACCAACAGGTGTAATTTTTCCTCTCTCCCTCCGTCCCTCTCTCCTAGCAATGTGGCATAAATGCCAATGATGTGAAGAAGCTGGAAGAAGCTGGGTTTCACACAGTGGAGGCCGTGGCTTATGCGCCAAAGAAGGAGCTGCTGAACATTAAAGGCATCAGTGAAGCCAAAGCCGACAAAATCTTGGTAGGCATGTCCTGGAACTTTAACCCAAGATATTCCACAGGTTTATTTCTGCTGGCTGAAAGTGTTGTGGTGAATTTGGAAGGTGTCCAAAGGGCAGTAAGGGGTGATTAGAGGTGTGACTTGACTTGTGATGGGAAAAGGCAAAACGTACCAGGACAGGACTGAACTGAACAGGTTGGGGGAAAAGGGGAGAATATTTCCATAAAAGGGATGTTGGAGCTTTTTCTTGGAGCAGAATTTGAGTTCTTTTCATAGGTACCAACTAGTGCAAAGTCTATGAAATGTGCATGGAATGATACAGGCACCGCTCCACAAGGCAGGAAATATTAATTACTGTGGGATTAACAAATGGCATTAACTCCTCTGGCACTGCTCATCTGGGTTTTCCCTCAGGCTGAGGCAGCCAAACTGGTTCCCATGGGCTTCACCACGGCCACAGAATTCCACCAGCGGCGGTCGGAGATCATCCAGATCACCACTGGCTCCAAAGAGCTGGATAAGCTGCTCCAAGGTCAGCATTTTATTATTTCTCTTCCCTGCTTAACCTCACTTATTGGGATGGGGTTTTGCCATGAGTGGGATCCTTGCACAGAACCATGGAAGGCAAGTCCTGGTTAGATGAAAAACCTCTAGGACTGCTCTTGAATAATTGCTTTTATTTTAGAAGCTGCAGAAATAGTTTTTAGTCCTTTTAAGTCATGATGCAAGATCCAGAGCTGTCCATTTTTGGATGTTTCTGGTTTTTTTTAAGTCCATGATGCATTTAGGGAAAACAAAACCAGGCATCACCATCTCCCCATTCCTCTGGTAATCTAAAAATGAAAACAAGTAATTTCAGCTCTTCAGCATCTTCAAAAACACAAGTGAACTTCTTAACCACAGCATGAACAAACCTCATGATGACAAACAATTTTCCCTCTTAGCTGTGAACCTTTCAGCCAAATTCAGTGTTTAACTGAGTCTCTGTAAATGTAATATTTTATGTGTGACATGGATACATAGATCATACATGTAGCATGTGACCTTTTGATTTTTATTAATAATTATTATTGTTATTTTCCCTTCAGGAGGAATAGAAACAGGGTCCATAACAGAATTATTTGGGGAATTCCGTACTGGGAAGACGCAGCTGTGTCACACCCTGGCTGTCACCTGTCAGGTGGGGGTTCACCTCATCACAATCCAATATTCAGACCCCACAGCCTTGGGATATTTGCTAATTTGGGCACTTCCTTTTACTTTCTAAGTGTTTATTGCTGTCTAGAAGTTTCTATTCCCTAAAATATTAGAGGCTTGGACTTAATTTGATCATTGAGTTTACTCCCTGAACTTCCCAGCTCAAAGCTGAGCACCTGTCATCTTTTGTAGAGTCATGGAATGCTGGAATGGTTTGGGTGGGAAGGGACCTTAAAGCCCATCCAGTTCCATGGCCAGGGACACCTTCCACTATCCCAGGTTGCTCCAAGCCCCATCCAGCCTGGCCTTGGACACTTCCAGGGATCCAGGGGCAGCCACAGCTTCCCTGGGCAGCCTGTGCCAGGGCCTCAGCACCCTCCTAGGGAAGAATTTCTTCCCAGTACTTCCCAATATCTCATTTATCCCTGCCCTGTGTTAGTGGGAAGCCATTCCCCCTTGTGCTGGCACTCCAGGGTGACAGGGACTACAAAAGGAAGGTGTCAGCAGCAATGGGGATCAGGGATCTTTCACTTGTCCCAGCTAAATGGGACTTTAAGCACAATAACTTTGGATGTTATTTGTTGTATGAGCTCAGTGAGGGCATGTGGCAGTATCTGCTGTACTTATGGATGCTTTATTCCCTGTTCCTTCCTTTCCTTCTCCTTTAGCTCCCCATAGACCGTGGTGGCGGCGAGGGAAAGGCCATGTACATCGACACAGAGGGCACCTTCCGTCCAGAGCGGCTCCTGGCCGTGGCTGAAAGGTCAGTGAGTGGGAGACAGGAATAGATGGGCTCACAACTCAGTTGGAAAATGTTTTCCACAGGTCTGGAGGTTGATTTGGCAGGTGTTCCCTTTGGAAAGATCTAGAGTTGCCATTCCTCTCCTCTCATTGCCGCTCTTTCCCCAGAGCTCTCGTATCATTGTCCCTTGGCATGAGGTGATTTCCTTGTCTTTTGCTACTGGAAGGGATTGGGAGCTTCCCAAGCAGCTGGGACAGGACTGGCTGGGTTCTGTTTGCTCTTTCTGAAGGGAATTTAATTTAATCCTGCTGGCTTCTCCCACAGCATGGACTGCTCCCATGTTCCCTGTCACCAGGGAATATTTAGCAGCCAAGCAAAGGAGAGGAAGTGAAATGATTGCAGCAGGCACAGGTGTGTCTGTGCTGGCCATGTACAGAGTGTCCTTGGAATCAGGGAGTCTTTCAGGTTGGAGGAGCCCTGGGAGATCCCTGTGCACAACCATTCCCTGGTGCTTCTGAGCCCCCCATGTCCCCAAGTGCCACATCCACATGGCTTTAGATCCCTCCAGGGATGGAGCCTCCACTGCTAGGGCTGGACAGCCTTTCCTCTTAGAGACTTCCCAATATTCAGCCTAAACCTCCCCTAGTATCACATGAGGCCATTTCCTCTTATCCATTTCAAATGGTTCCAATCATTCCGTTCTCTTTTCATCACCACAGGTTGCATTTTTTTCCATCTGTTTTTATCTCTGCTGGGGATGTGAGTTTTTCTTCCAGTCTTTTGACAAAGTTCCTGTCTAACTGCTATGGATGAAGTTGTCACTCAAGGTTCATCCCTTTGTTTTCCCTGATTTGGCAGGTATGGCCTGTCTGGCAGTGATGTCCTCGACAATGTGGCCTATGCTCGGGGCTTTAACACCGACCACCAGACCCAGCTGCTGTACCAGGCCTCGGCCATGATGGCTGAGTCACGGTAATGACACTGATTTCACGGAGTTTGTTCCCACATGGGATTAGCCTTTGATTCTCCAGGGAGCCAGCTTGCTCCATGGGCAGTCAGCTGTCAGCAGCACATCCTGCTGCTGGAATTCTGGGTGCCAGCAACTGGCTCCAGCTGATGTGGCTGCACAAACATTGGGAATTCATGGTTCCCCAGTGCCAGCCCGAGGAGCAAGTTGGGAGCTCAGTTTAGAGCTGTGGTTAGAAACAGTGCTGATGATTTCCAAGCTGCCAGGAGAGCTGTGCAGGCGGCTTGGCATTGGAACCAAGACTTAGAGCCCCGCCTGCCCTTTCCAGGTACGCGCTGCTGATCGTGGACAGTGCCACGGCCCTGTACCGCACGGATTACTCGGGAAGGGGCGAGCTCTCCGCCAGGCAGATGCACCTGGCCAGGTTCCTGCGGATGCTGCTGCGCCTGGCCGACGAGGTGAGCATCCCCTGGGCTTTACGGCGTGGGCTGCTGCTGCCCAAACACCAGGCACCCATGAAATCCGCTCACTCACCCTCCTTACAGCTGGACAGAGGAGAGAAAATGTAATGAAGGGTTTGTGAGTTAGGGTAAGGACCGGGAGAAAACACTCATCAATTAGCAGCAAGGGAAAAACAGGCTCAGCTTAGAGATTTGAAGTGACATCATTACTTACAAAATCAGAGCAGGATAATGAGAAGTAAAATAAGCTCTTAAAAAAACAGCTTACCCCCACTTCTCCCTCCTTCCCAGCTCTACCTCCTATGCCAATAGCACAGTGAGATGGGAATGGGGGGGTTTGGTCGGTTCATCCACCCAAGGCTTCTCCCACTGCTGAGGGAGAAAAGGTCCCAAGGGCTTTGTCTCCACCTCTGCTCCCATTGGTTTGGAGAGGCTGGATCCCACACTTATGGACACCAGGAGTGCCCCTGTGTCCTTTTCCCTGCTTTTCTGTTCTGATTGTGGGAAATAATTGGGTTTGGGTTGTTTCTCCTGCAGTTTGGCGTGGCCGTCGTCATCACGAACCAGGTGGTGGCACAGGTAGATGGAGCTGCCATGTTTGCTGCAGATCCCAAAAAGCCCATCGGAGGCAATATCATTGCTCATGCTTCCACCACCAGGTGAGACAAGAGATGGTCATATCCCACGAGCCTGGGCTGGGAATGTTTTATGGAATTGGCCAAGTAGCTTTTACTTCTGGGCTTTCCAGTCTGTCCATGACAGGCCCAGCCTGTGCTTCAGCTCAGTGCCACTCTGGGCCCTCAGTCCATGGGGAAATGAATGTCTTGGGCAGTTCCTACAGCTCTGTTTACTCCTTTCTGCATTAGGATGATTTTCTGGGAGTCCATCCTGACCTGTTTCCTTCCCTCTCCCTGTCAGGCTGTACCTGCGGAAAGGCCGAGGTGAGACCAGGATCTGTAAAATCTACGACTCTCCGTGCCTTCCCGAGGCCGAAGCCATGTTTGCTATCAATGCCGACGGAGTGGGAGATGCTAAAGATTGAAAACTCCTTTTCTTCCCCTGAATCCCAAGACTCTGTGTCTGTAAGAGGCTCCTTTCCTAGTGGCACCTTAGGGATACTTCCCAAGGCAGCGGGCAGAAGAAGCTGTGCCGTGTCAGCCTGGGAAGCGTCGGGACACACCGAGCTCAGCCATGGCTGTTGGGAAGAGATTCCCTTGGCTGCAAGCACAGGTGAGGGCCGTGTGCTTCCTCAGCAACATTCCCAGAGCACCAGACCCTGCGTGTTTCCCTGGATCCCACCGTGGTGCAGCAGAATCTTGGTGGCCACAGTTGGGAACTCAGTGAATTGGAAGCAAAGCTGAAGGGTTTGTCCACTAAGAGAAGCGGTGATCTATAAACCAAAGCAGAGTGATATTCCACACCAGGGATTTGGGATTGGTGATGGTCCCAATCCATCATCTTTCTGTTCATTTTCTTTTGGATGCTGCAGCCTGCTGGGCTGGGGGAGCTGTTCCTTTGCATTTAATTTTCTGTATTCTGTTAATTCTCCATGGAAATCTGCTTTTAATAAAAAGGCTCTTGATGATGTCCCAGGTTCCTGGGATTCTCAGCTGTGTGTTCAGACCAAGGAATGTTCTGGCTGGCAGAAGCTGCACCAATCTCCCAGGAATCTCAGTCTGGGTTTGTCTTTGCTCCCACTTCTCCTCAGTTTGGGGTGCAGTGCAGCCCTGCCCTGTGGATCTCCTAGAAGAGTTTTGGGGTTAAAAAGGTTCTTTCCTATTCTGCAGTTTTTCTCTAGAACTTGAGTAAAAAGAATAATGTGATCTTGATGTGATCTTAATTGGTTCATTTGCATTGATTAATTAAAGCAGATCATTGAGAAGGGGCTTGAGCAGCCCTTGGTTGGAGCTGGCAGTTCTTGTCTCTTCATTCTTTGAATTTATTTTAATTATTTCTTAAGCAATTCCTACAGTTAAGATACACAGTGAGGAGAACAGCATTGCTGCCCGGCTGGATTGGGAAATCCAAGTGCAATTCCTTGGAGAGATTGAGGGGATGGGGAGCTGAGCCTCAGGCTGGGTTTTGGCAGCAGGAACTGGCTGAGGAGAGGGGAGATCCCCCAAAATTGCTTAAAGCCAATTCTGCTGGGTTTGGGTGCTCCCACCCCAAAAAAGGATCCTGGTTAAAGGGGACTTGAGGAAGCAGCGGGATGTGCTGGGGGCGCTGTGCTGGAACCCCCAACCCCTGGCCAGGAATGCTGGGCAGTGCAGGTTCACAGGGACACTATGGAGGGGCTGTGCTGGGATCCCCAAATTCCAGCCAGGAATGCTGGGCACTGCAGGTTCACAGGGACACTATGGAGGGGCTGTGCTGGGATCCCCAAATTCCAGCCAGGGTGCTGCCAGACCTTTGGGACACTGCCTGATCCAGAGAGATTTCCCATTGTGTTCTCCCGTGCTCAGCACCTGGCATTCCATTGGAGTCCCACAGGCTGGAAATGCCATGCGAACAGCTGAAATCGCAGCCGATCACACAGAAGCCAGTCCAGGAGAGGAAACGAGCTGTTCCACAGATGGATTTTTCCCAATGTGTTTTAATTTAAAGCAGAACATCGCCCGCCCCTCCCACCTACCTCGACCCCATAGCCTTTATTTTTGGGCTTTCTCTATGAGAATTATCTGCCTACGCTGGATAAAAAATTCCGAAAATATTCCTCCGGCGCTGCGGGGACCGGCGGAGTTCGGAGGGTTCCGGGGCCGTGGCGGGACCGCGCCCGGAGCCCGGGCGGGGCCGCAACCGGAGCAGGAGCGGCACCGCCGGGCTCCGCCCCAGCGCCCGTCCCGGAGCGGCTCCTCCCGCCCGCGGCGAGCCCGGTCCCCACGCCAGCCCCAGTCCCGTCCCGGTCCTCCGGCCCCGGGACCCCCAGCGGCCACGGGCCCGAAGCCCCGGTTCCATCGCCGGGAGCAGCCCCGGTTGGGCCCAGCCGTGAGGGACGGGCCCGGGTGAGAGGGGCGAGGCCGCGAGCGATGGTCCCACCCCCACCGCGGGCAGGGTGGGGCTCCGTGAGGCGGGGCCCAGGGTGGGGCCCGAGGTGGGGCCGGGGGCGGTTCCAGGGGCGGGGCCGGGCCCGGCTCAGGTGCGCGGGGCGGGCCTGGCTCAGGTGCGCGGGGCCCCAGCGCGGCTGCGCGGGGCGGGGCCGAGGTGATTTAATCCGTGGAAATCTCTGCCGGCGCCATTTGCTCACCCGGAGCTCGGTGCGGGCGGCGCGTCCGTGTCCGCCGTCCTCAGGTGGGGCGCGGGGGCTTCGGCCTCGCCTCCTGTCCCCCCCTCTACCCCTCCTTCCTTCTCCCCGTGCTCCCCTGCTTTCTTTCCCTTTCCCCCTCCTCCCTCTCTCCCCCAAATTCTCCCCGCCTTACTTCCCAAACCCTCACACTCCTTCCTCTTCTGTCCCTACCCGCTTAATCCCTTCTATTCGCACTCTCTCCCTCCTCTGTCCACGTTCCTTCTCTTCCCTTCTGGCCTTTCCCTTCTCTTCCCGCTTTTCTCCGTACCCCGATCCCCCCTCCCTACCCCTCCTCATCTCCTCCACGTCTCCTCTCTCCCCGTCCTCCCCTCTCCTCCTCTCTCCTTCATTCCCCGCAGCCGCGGGGCTCGGGGCGCCGCAGAATAAAGCCCAGAGGGCCGGAGCGGCGCTCCCGCTGTCCCTGGAGCCCCCACACGGGGCCGGAGCCGCTGGGCGGGTCCCCCCATTGCAGTGCAAAGCACGGCCCGACACCGCCGGGGTTCCGGCTGTCCCTACATCACACTGGGGGTCCCCGGGGGGGGGGAAAGGTTGGGGGGCGGGGGGTAGGGGTTTGGTAGGGCCCCCTCCTCAGGAGGGGGTCCCGGGGGGGGGAGGGGGGAGAAGGGGGGGGGGGTTGGGGGGGTAGGGCCCCCTCCGGAGGAGGGGGTCCCTGGGAGGGGGGCGGGGCGGGCCCCCTCCGGAGGAGGGGGTCCCGGGGGAGGGGGCGGGGCCTGGAGGGGGGAATCCCCCTCCAGGCCCCGCCCCCTCCCCCCGGACCCCCTCCTCCGGATGGGACTCGGCTCGGCCCCCTCCCCGGGACCCCCTCCTCCGGACCGGGGCCCAGGGGGAGGGAGGGGGGCGGGGTGGGGTGGGCAGAGGGGGAGGGGCCGTTTGTTTGTCCGGTCATCTCTGTGCTCACGATGCAAAGCGACGCGACCCACTCTGCTTCCCCCCCTCCCCACCCCGCCCCCCTCCCTCCCCCTGGGCCCCGTCCGGAGGAGGGGGTCCCGGGGAGGGGGCCGAGCCGAGTCCCATCCGGAGGAGGGGGTCCGGGGGGAGGAAGCGGGGCGGAGGGGGGAAATCCCCCTCCAGGCCCCGCCCCCTCCCCCGGGACCCCCTCTTCCGGAGGGGGCCCGCCCCGCCCCCCTCCCAGGGACCCCCTCCTCCGGAGGGGGCCCTACCCCCCCAACCCCCCCCCCTTCTCCCCCCTCCCCCCCCCCGGGACCCCCTCCTGAGGAGGGGGCCCTACCAAACCCCTACCCCCCGCCCCCCAACCTCCCCCCCCCCCCCCCGGGGACCCCCAGTGTGATGTAGGGACAGCCGGAACCCCGGCGGTGTCGGGCCGTGCTTTGCACTGCAATGGGGGGACCCGCCCAGCGGCTCCGGCCCCGTGTGGGGGCTCCAGGGACAGCGGGAGCGCCGCTCCGGCCCTCTGGGCTTTATTCTGCGGCGCCCCGAGCCCCGCGGCTGCGGGGGAAAGAGGGAGGGGGGGACAGAGGACGGGAACAGGGGGACAGAGGATGGGAACAGGGGGACAGAGGGGTGGTCGGGGTGGGTCAAGGATGGAGGGCAGGTGGAGGGGTCGGGATGTGCAGGGGAGCAGGGAGAGGGGCAGGGGCAGGTGGGGTGGCGGGGGCAGGACGGGCGGAGGATGGAGGACGAGGATGGAGCACAGGTGGGGGGGTTAAGGTGAGGAAGGAAAACAGGGGGAGGTGAAAGAGGAGGAAGGGTGAAGGAAGGAGGGGAAGGAGGAATTGGGAGGAAGGGAAAGAGGATGTGGGGGCAGGTGGGAGCCGGGCTAGGGAGAGAAGGAAGCGTGGAGAAAGGAGGGGTAGGGTAGGGCTGGGGTGTGTGGGGGCATAGGAAGGGTAGGGGGGACCGGCCCGGGAGGGAGCGGTTTGGGGGGGAGGGAGGGGAGGGCTAGGGGGGAGAGGGAGGGGGGGGGTTAGGGGGGGGGGAGGGTGTAGGGGGTGGGGGAGGGGAGGAAGGGAGGGAGAGAGGGGAGGTATCTGTGAAAAAGAAATAAAAATAAGCGTAAAAGAAAAGAAACAAAGATATGGAGCCCGCGCGGACAGAACCTTCCCCTCCGAGCGCCGAGGAGGCAAATGGCGCCAGCGGCGATTCCCGGGGCTTAAATCCTCTCGGCCCCGCCCCGCGCAGCCGCGCTGGGGCCCCGCGCACCTGAGCCGGCCCCGCCCCTCACACCTGAGCCGGCCCCGCCCCTCACACCTGAGCCGGCCCCGCCCCGCCCGCGCCCGTAAATCCCGGCGGATCCGCCCCCGCTCTGCTTTGTGTGATGGATGCTCATCCCGGGATGCGGCGGGGGCGTCGCTGGAGCGCTGTGCGGAGCTCCGGACCGGGGGCTGCTCCCGTTGCTGCGCGGGGCTCGAGGCGCTGAGGTGGGGCCGCGAACAGGACCTGGACCTGGACCTGGGCCTGGGGATCCGGGTCCTGCCGGTGTCTGCTGGGGGTCCAGGGCAGAGTGGGCTGCGGGTCCTGGAGCCGCAAGACCGGGGTGGCGTTTGGGTGTAGGGATCGGGACAAGCATCGCCATGGCAAGGAGGAGCCGCTCCAGGACAATGTCTGGGGCTGAGCCCGGCACTGCCGCTCCAGCTGCGGAGGGGCGGAGAGGGTGCGGGAGCAAGTCCCGCTGCTGCCGTGGGGAGCCGGGGCTGTGCCGGTGCCGGGCCCGGCAGGAGAGCGGCGCATTCCCGGAGCAGGCGCTGGATCGCGGCTGGAAGCGGCCGGGGCGCGGGGATCGCCCGTGCCGGCCCCGGGAGCCCTCAGGCCCCGCCGCTGCCTCAGCGCCGCCGC